CACCATTACACTCTAGCCTGGGTGACAGGGCAAGACTGTCTCAAAAAAACAAACAACGCCCCACCCCTTGCCATACTTACAACAGTTTAAAAAGAAGAAGAGGAAAAGGAGGAGGAGGACTAAAAGGAGGAGTACAGAAAAGAAGAAACATTTAGGTATAAATCTAACACAACAAGTACAGCGTCTATATGCTGAAAACAACGTAGAAGAAACCAAAGTACAACTACGGAAATGGAGAGACATACCATGTTCATGAATTGGAAGACTCAATACAGTAATTGTTAATTCTCCCCCAAGTGATCTCCCCTATCAGAATGGCCAAATTCCAATCAACATCTCCTTCTCTCTCTCTCTCTCTCTCTCATATATATATATATATATATATATATATACACACACACACACGCATACACATATACACGTATATATACACACACATATATATGTGCATATATACACATATACATATATATACGGGCATATATATACGTACATATATACGTGTATATATATATCTTTTCTGAGACAGAGTCTTGCTCTGTTGCCCAGACTGAAGTGCAGTGGCAGAATCTTAGCTCACTTCAACCTCCATCTCCCAGGCTCAAACAATTCTTATGCCTCAGTCTCCTGAGTAGCTAGGATTACAGGCATGTGCCACCACATCTGGCTAATTTTAAAAATATTTTTAGTAGAGATAGGATTTCACCCTGTTGGCCAGGCTGGTCTTGAACTCCTGGCTTCAAGCTGACCTGCCTGCCTTGGCTTCCCAAAGTGCTGGGATTACAGGCATGAGCCACCATGCCTGGCTTTCCAATCAAGATCCCAAAAGGACTTTTTGTAGATATAGACAAGCTAATTCTAAAATCGATTACATGCACCAAAACAACTCTGAAAAAGAATAAAGCTGGTAAAATCACACTATAATTGTAAGACTTAGCATAAAACCACAACAGTCAAGACAATGTGGTGTCAGCAGAATAGAAACATAGATCATGGGAACAGAACAGAGTACCTACACACAGACCCTCTCAAATATGTCCAACTAATTTTTGGCAAAGAGGCAATGGTAACTCAATGCAGAAAGGGTAGTCTTTTCAAATGATATTTGAACAATCGTTCATGCAAAAAAATGAACCTCCCACCTAAACCTCACATATGACCCAAAAATTCACTGAAAATACTGCATGGATATAAATGTAAAACTATAAACAATCAGATGAAGACCTAAAAGAAAACCCTTGCGACCTGGAGTTAGACATGGCAGCAAAAGCTTGATCCATGAAAGTAAAGAAAAGATAGCAGACTTGACCTATGAAATGGAAGAGAATGAAAAGACAAGGCTGAGAGAAAATACTGGCAAATCACCTATTCTTCATCTCAACAGCAGGAAAATAAACCAGTTAAATGGTCCGAAGAGTTAAACAGATACTTTAAAACAAGACCTATAGATGGCAAATAAACATGTGTACAGATGCCCCACATCGATGGCCACTGGGGAAACAACTACTCACTGAAACTACAGCCAGGCACTGAAACCACAGCCAGGGCAGCACTGAAACCACGGCCAGAGTGACACTGAAACCACAGCCAGGGCAGTACTGAAACCACGGCCAGAGTGACACTGAAACCACAGCCAGGCACTGAAACCACAGCCAGGGCAGCATTGAAACCATGGCCAGAGTGACACTGAAACCACAGCCAGGCACTGAAACCACAGCCAGGGCAGCACTGAAACCACGGCCAGAGTGACACTGAAACCACAGCCAGGGCAGCACTAAAACCACGGCCAGAGTGACACTGAAACCACAGCCAGGCACTGAAACCACAGCCAGGGCAGCACTGAAACCACGGCCAGAGTGACACTGAAACCACAGCCAGGCACTGAAACCACAGCCAGGGCAGCACTGAAACCACGGCCAGAGTGACACTGAAACCACAGCCAGGGCAGCACTAAAACCACGGCCAGAGTGACACTGAAACCACAGCCAGGCACTGAAACCACAGCCAGGGCAGCACTGAAACCACGGCCAGAGTGACACTGAAACCACAGCCAGGCACTGAAACCACAGCCAGGGCAGCACTGAAACCATGGCCAGAGTGACACTGAAACCACAGCCAGGGCAGCACTGAAACCACGGCCAGAGTGACGCTGAAACCACAGCCAGGCACTGAAACCACGGCCAGAGCGACACGGAAACCACGGCCAGAGCAACATAGAAACCACGGCCAGAGTGACACGGAAATCATGGCTAGGGTGACACTGAAACCATGGCCGGGGGACACGAAAACCACAGCCAGGGCGACACGAAAACTATGGCCAGAGTGATAGGGAAACCACAACCAGAGTGACACTGAAACCACAGCCAGGGTGACATTGAAACCAGTCAGGAACTGCTATACCAGCCAGAGTGACACCAAAACCACAGCCAGGCACTGCAAACACCAGCCAGAGCAGCCAATGGGAAAATTTCCGACAATACGAAGTGCCAGAAGGAGGCAGAGCAACCAGGACTCTCACCGGCTGCTGGCAGAAATGCAAAATAACACAGCAACTTCACAAGAACAGCCTGGCAGTTTCTACTAAAGTTAAATACACACTCGATATGACCAAGCAACCCCATTCCTAGGGATCTACCTTAGAGAAATATAAACTTATTTTCACACAAAATCCTGAAGTTAATAATGTTTATAAAGCTGTACTTACCATGGCCCCAATCTGGAAAGAACCCAAATGTCTTCCAATGAGTGACTGGATAAACACCCACATTACAGAATACTACTTGGCAATAAACAGAGCAAATTCCTGACACACGCAGGAATTTGGGTGGATCTCAATGGCACCATCCTAAGTGAGAGAAGCCGCAGGCTCAAAATATAACACTATGGGATTTTAGCCATAAGAGATTCTTGAGAAGACAGAACTCAGATGGATACAGATCAGGGTACCGGAGGATAAGCGAATGCTTTTCGATGTGAACCTGCTCAGATCCTGACTGTGGTGGGAGTTCTGTGAATACACAGATGTGTGAAAATTGATAAAATTGTGTGATGAGAAAAAAGAACTCAATTTAACTGTGTGTCACTTCTCAATGTGGTGAGGCCTTTCCACTCATGGCCAGTTTTGTGGTGACAGTGACCCGAAAACCTGAGCCCCTCTACACACTACAAACAAACAGGGTCCCTCTAACCAGCAACTCAGCCCCTCTCCAAACTGCAAACACACAGACTCCATCCACCCATGACCTCAGCCCCTCTCCATACTGCAAACACACAGGGTCAATCCACCCATGACCTCAGCCCCTCTCCACACTGCAAACACACAGGCTCCATGCACCCAGCACTTCGGCCACTCTCCACACTGTAAACACACAGGGTCCATCCACCTAGCACCTCGGCCCCTCTCCACACTGTAAACACACAGGTTTTCTCCATCCAGGGCTTGAGCTCCACAGAGCTGCCTGCATAGCACCAAGTCACTAGACAGACCTGGGAACAAGAAGGCCAACTGAACGTCAGTCACAGACACCTGTAACTTGAGTTCTGGCCACTAAAGGGTGAAGAGGAGCAGGGTACAGACCACGGAGAGGAATCTAAAGCTGTGCGAAACAATGAGTGTTTCTTTGACTAAAACAGAACCAAGGTATCACCATGTTCACTAGTCTGGAGCACGAGCCCTGAGGGAGCACAGACCTGAGAGCCAGGAAGGGCCGGTGTCTTCAGGGACCCGAGAGGCAGCCTGATAACGGCAGGGCCGAGGCAGGAGCCCCGGGAGAGGGGTGTCAGGACAACCGCATGGGCTGGGGTCTGAGGCCACCCTGTAGAGGGCGGGAGGCAGGTGTCCACCAAGGAGCAGCCACCCAGATGGGTTTCAGGAAGGTGCCCACGGCACTGTCGGGGCCACAGTGGGGCCTTGGAGGATAACACCCCAGTGAGGCGCTGCAGGTGACCCAGGCCAGGCAGCACCGTGTGACCCTCCACACAAGGTCGGCTGCTACAGGTGGCCCCAGTTAGAGGTTTTCGTGGGGAAACAATGACCACTTCAGGTGGTTCTGAAGCTTGTCATTAAATGACACTGAAAGCCACCTGCGACCTACGTGTTTGCTGGGGCTAAAATGCCCAGCCACAACCACCGCTCCCCAGCTACAAACACTGCTCCAACCCTCACCTGGTCAGGTGTGGAAACCAAGGTCCAGGGAGGGCATGTGGCTGTCCACTCACGAGAGCAGCCCACGGCCCCTCTGCCTCTGTGCGGGGAGCCCGGATGTGCCCCTGAGGGCCGAGACAGCGCCACAGTGAATGCAGTCTGCTAAGGTGAGACTCGAGCCTTCATCTTTCAAAACCTCAGGGCAACAGTCAATCATGTGTGGGATCAGGTGTGGATACTGGCTTTAGAGAAAACAATTTCCTTTTAAATCAAGATTCCATTTCCCCATAATCCCTAAACCTTTCTCCGTGATGTGAGTTCACTTGTGATGAGTAGATTCTCACGTTGAAATACGCACAGAAATGAGACGTCCTTTCTTCTTGTTCACCTTTGTCAATTTTAGAATAACACGAGACTAGGAGGCCATCAGTGAGCTCTGCACAGGCACCCACCTTAGCATGCAGGGCTCTGTGACCCTCTCCACATCCGCCCTGGGGCCTGTGGTCAGCGTCACCTCAGGACGGATGCCAGGGCCAGGCCAGTTCATATTTTTAACCAGACTCCCATCATCAACAACAATCTCTCCTGCTTTCTCTCAGGGGTACCCTTAGCCAAGGCCTTCATGGGCCACGTCAGCATGTCCCTGTGGATGGGACCCTAGGAGGAGCTGTGCGCCCAGTGTGGTATTCCGCTCTGGGCTCCCTCTGCCCACTGCTCCGTGAGCGCAAAGATGAACACTGGCCAGCACCTACAGTGTCCAGAAGTCCGTCTCCAGTGGAAAGATGCCCCCATGGGACCACCCAGAAGGCCAGCCTGGAGAGACGGCAGCCTGACCGCCAAGAGCAGAGTGGCCTACCTTGGTGCCCCTCTCGTCTCCCTCTGCGTGCACAGTGTGGGCGTCGCCTTCCTTCTGTGAGTTTTCTGAGACAATGCGCACTTGCACTCCTGGCAGCGGGGTCCCCACAGAACCTACAGGGGAGGAGAAACACTAAGGGGAGGCTGCAGTGAGAGGGACACGGGGAGAGAGGTGCGTGCTGCGCTTGCATTCTGCTGGGCTCCCGTGTGCCACGTGCGGGAATCAGTGTGTGAATGGAGCAACGTGCCCCGGATTCAAGAGAAGACGGCTCAGGAAGTGGGAGTGCAGGCCACGTGACCCCACGAGGAGACAGCCTAGGAAGCAACAGTGCAGACCACGTGACCTCGAGAGGAGCCGGCCTAGGAAGCGTGGAGTGCAGGCCACGTGACCCTGAGAGCCGGCCTAGGAAGCGGGAGTGCAGAGCCACACAGAACATGCCGGCAGGCAGTGTGCTCAGGTCCAGTGGATGCCACAGTGACGGCCACATGGCACAGCAGGTGCTCACACTGCACCCTGGGCCTGGCCTGCCCTGGGCTCCTCATACGTTGCTTTCCCAGTTATCTCCCAAAGCCTCACGGCTGCCCATAGACTCTGCTGTCATTTCCACTTTTATACGCTTGTTCTAAGGAGGGCTGGCGCCTCACCCTCATGGCCTCAGGGCTGTCCATGATGAGGTTCCTGTGTGTGTCCGGGGCACAGCGGGAGGTGCTGTCTTGCGCTCTGCATGGCAGGTGGGCCACACCTTAGAGTGGCTCATTTATTAGCCACCCACGATGTGCTCAGTGCATCCACCCCACCTGCACAGTCCCAACCTGGCTAAAATCAAATCTTATACTGGCCAGGGTGGGACAGAGCCCAGGCAGGGGGCGCACCTTGCCGGCATACACAGGGCTGCTGCAGCCTTGCTCTGCCCGTGCTTTAGGATGGCAGTGGGACGGCAGGGGCTGCTTATGGAACACAGCCCTGGCGATGTGGCATCAGCACAGGCATGGCCTAAGGGCAGAGCAGAGATGGGACTTCCTGTCCACCCACGAGGCGTGAGGCCTTCACCCTGGACTTCCCGTCCACCCACGGGGCGTGAGGCCTTCGCCCTGGACTTACTTCCTGTCCACCCACGGGGCGTGAGGCCTTCGCCCTGGCCTTACTTCCTGTCCAACCACGGGGCGTGAGGCCTTCGCCCTGGCCTTACTTCCTGTCCACCCACGGGGCGTGAGGCCTTCGCCCTGGCCTTACTTCCTGTCCACCCACGGGGCGTGAGGCCTTCGCCCTGGCCTTACTTCCTGTCCACCCACGGGGCGTGAGGCCTTCGCCCTGGCCTTACTTCCTGTCCACCCACGGGGCGTGAGGCCTTCGCCCTGGACTTACTTCCTGTCCACCCACGGGGCGTGAGGCCTTCGCCCTGGCCTTACTTCCTGTCCACCCACGGGGCGTGAGGCCTTCGCCCTGGCCTTACTTCCTGTCCACCCACGGGGCGTGAGGCCTTCGCCCTGGCCTGCGTCGCGGGAGTGCCTGAACGCTTATCACATGTGAGATTTCAGGCACTTCAAGGGTCAGCGTGGAGCATCAGTGCAGTGAACTCTGTAACCCACGGGGCGTCCCGGCCTCCAGACACTCGGTGAAGGGCTGCTGGTGCTGGGATCACTCTTGCTGGCCTGGCTAGACCTGTTCACGCCTGGGGTCCCACAGGCGAGGCTGGGCCACCTTGGGGGTTCCCTGTGGCTCCACATGTGCACACGCCTCACACCTTAACTCTGGTCAGAACCAGCATGGGGGCCTGGGGGGCCGGCTTCAGCCCCCTTTCTCCCATCCTTCCTCCACCTTTATGTTTTTCTTCTAAAGATTTTAAAACGGAGGTGAAACCCATGTGACACATGATTCGGCATTCCACAGCACACAGCACGGTGGTATTATACACACACACACACACACACGCACACACACACGGCACAGCCCCCAGCTCACTCAAGTCGGAACTCCCCCATGGCCCACAACTGCCACGCCCTCCCTCCCCAGACCTGGCACCGAGTCTGCTGCCTGTGTCCACAGTTTTTTTGCTCCGGGCGTTTCACTGGAACAGGAACATCTCACGCGGCTGCTCGCCTCTTCCTGGTGGGGCCTGTACTGGAGCAGGGGAACAGTGCCAGGACACGGCACAGTTGGGCTAGGGGCGGGGGCTGCAGGTGGGTAGGTGTGTGGCCGTTCCACGCCATCTGCCGTGGCTGAAGAGGCTCGGTGTCTGGATTCTCCAGAAGTCAAGCAGTGGCGCTACCCACGGAAGCTCAAGGGAGTGGCCCCCACACCCCGGTGTTCCTTTCTGTGCCCTGGGCATGTGCGTGGTGCAGACAGAGCCCGGCCTGTGAGGGCCAACATAGAGCGTGGCTGCAGGTAGGGGTGGGGGTGGGGGTATGCCTGAACGTTCATTACATTCCTGTGGCAGTCCACCTCTCAAATGGCTGTCAGCCCCTCCCTGATAACTCTAACTGGCCTGCGGCCCGTCCTGGTGCCCGGGACCTGGACAAGGGAAACTGCCAGTAAGGCCCTGGAGCTCCCTGTCAATGCCACAGAGATGCCCAGGAGCTATGAGCACATCTGATCTCAACCCCAGGTAGAGTGTGATTAGGTGAGCAGTGCTCACCATCAGTTATTCATCTCCCTCCACAGGAACCACATGAAGCACGCCCAGAACTGTAACACACGGCAGAGCCCACCCTCCACCCGGCGGACATGTTACACACGCACAGCCCACCCTCCCGCAGCAGACACATTACACACGCAGACCTCACCCTCCAGCGGCGGACACGGTACACACGTAGACCTCACCATACCGCGGCAGACACGTTACACACGGAGACCTTACCCTCCGCCCGGCGGACATGTTACACACACAAAGCCCACCCTTTGCCCGGTGGACACGTTACACATGCAGAGCCCACCCCTCCGCCTGGCGGACACGCTACACATGCAGACCTCACCCTCCGCCTGGCGGACACGTTATAAATGCAGAGCCCACCCTCAGCCCGGCGGATACGTTACACACGCAGAGCCCACCCTCTGCCTGGCGGACACGTTACACACGCAGACCTCACCCTCCACCTGGCAGATACGTTACACATGCAGACCTCACGCTCCGCCTGGCGGACACGTTACACACGCAGACCTCACCCTCCGCCTGGCGGATATGTTACACATGCAGAGCCCACCCTCTGCCTGGCGGATATGTTACACACGCAGAGCTCACCCTCCGCCTGGCGGATATGTTACACACGCAGAGCCCACCCTCCGCCTGGCGGATATGTTACACACGCAGACCTCACCCTCCGCCTGGCGGATATGTTACACACGCAGAGCTCACCCTCTGCCTGGCGGATATGTTACACACGCAGACCTCACCCTCCGCCTGGCGGATATGTTACACACGCAGACCTCACCCTCCGCCTGGCGGATATGTTACACACGCAGAGCTCACCCTCCGCCTGGCGGATATGTTACACACGCAGAGCCCACCCTCCGCCTGGCGGATATGTTACACACGCAGACCTCACCCTCCGCCTGGCGGATATGTTACACACGCAGAGCTCACCCTCCGCCTGGCGGATATGTTACACACGCAGAGCCCACCCTCCGCCTGGCGGATATGTTACACACGCAGACCTCACCCTCCGCCTGGCGGATATGTTACACACGCAGAGCTCACCCTCCGCCTGGCGGATATGTTACACACGCAGACCTCACCCTCCGCCTGGCGGATATGTTACACACGCAGACCTCACCCTCCGCCTGGCGGATATGTTACACACGCAGACCTCACCCTCCGCCTGGCGGATATGTTACACACGCAGAGCTCACCCTCCGCCTGGCGGATATGTTACACACGCAGACCTCACCCTCCGCCTGGCGGATATGTTACACACGCAGACCTCACCCTCCGCCTGGCGGATATGTTACACACGCAGACCTCACCCTCCGCCTGGCGGATATGTTACACACGCAGACCTCACCCTCCGCCTGGCGGATATGTTACACACGCAGACCTCACCCTCCGCCTGGCGGATATGTTACACACGCAGAGCTCACCCTCCGCCTGGCGGATATGTTACACACGCAGACCTCACCCTCCGCCTGGCGGATATGTTACACACGCAGACCTCACCCTCCGCCTGGCGGATATGTTACACACGCAGACCTCACCCTCCGCCTGGCGGATATGTTACACACGCAGAGCTCACCCTCCGCCTGGCGGATATGTTACACACGCAGACCTCACCCTCCGCCTGGCGGATATGTTACACATGGCAGACCTCACCCTCCGCCTGGCGGACATGTTACACACGCAGACCTCACCCTCCGCCTGGCGGATATGTTACACACGCAGACCTCACCCTCCGCCTGGCGGATATGTTACACACGCAGACCTCACCCTCCGCCTGGCGGATATGTTACACATGCAGACCTCACCCTCCGCCTGGCGGACACGTTACACATGCAGACCTCACCCTCCGCCTGGCAGATATGTTACACATGCAGACCTCACCCTCCGCCTGGCGGACACGTTACACATGGCAGAGCTCACCCTCTGCCTGGCGGATATGTTACACATGCAGACCTCACCCTCCGCCTGGCAGATATGTTACACATGCAGACCTCACCCTCCGCCTGGCGGACACGTTACACATGGCAGAGCTCACCCTCCACCCGGCTTCTCTTCTTCTCTCTCCCCCAAGCACGCAGCAGCGACGCCAAGCACAAGCCCAGATCCCGCAGCTGGAGCCAACCCAAGGGCCAAGGCCATGGCCACCAGGGAGCGGGTAGAGCCCGAGAGTGAGGAAGGCTCTTCACCGCCGTGCCCTCCAGTAACGCTGTTCGGGAGGCTGCATTTTAGAGTTTCCGTGGGCATACTGGATTCGGTGCTGTGGCCACTTTAAAGAACTGACACTGCTCGTGATTTAGAGACAAGGACAAATTGCAGATGTTTCCGCCTCCCTTAGAGAAGAGGGACTGTCCTCAGTGCCCAGGTAAAGCTCTAGTAGGTAGTTGAAGACGCAGAGAGTTGTGTGCCCGGATTTCTTGCCCAATAACCCTGAAGCTTCAGGGTTTCTGGATCCCCTTCCTCAGC